CTTGTGTTTCCAGCTTCTCCATCATGGCGTCACCTTTTACTCCTCCTCCCTCTGTTCCTCGCACCTCCTCCTTAATTAAAGGTGTTTATTTAGGGATTAATTTGCGCCCCGAACGGAGACAAAACGCTCCTTCCCGCCCGGCTCAGCAAGCATCCGACAGCCCGAGGCGCCCCGGCAGCACGGCGCTCGGGGACGTGTAGGAATAATGTGCTCGGGTGTTAAATTGAGAGCAGAGCTATTGTTCAGCACAAAAACCATTATCTCCACATTTCCAACCATCATTTTAATACCTCGTCCCATAACTGCTGTATTACCTCATGTGATAATCCTGCCATTAATAACCTTTGCAGACTTTGTTGCTTCTGCTGCTCATTTGTGCTGTGAAACTATTTTGTCCTCGGGCTGTTTCGGGGGGTACAGATGGAAACGCCGGCGCTCTGACCTTCAGCATGTTCACGCTGAGCTGAGCAGATTAAATATAGCAAATTGGGCTCTGATTGTACTGTAGCTGAAAGTGGTTTGGACTTCTGTGGTCATGGCAGAGTTGCTTAATTAACTACATAAATGAACAACAGCACCAGGCCTGCTGGCTGAAACTGCCACCAGGTCTTTGTACAGGACGCGTAGCCATGTGAACACGTTCACGTACCCAGCCACATGTTCCAGGTTTCCAGAGGATCCGTGCTCCTGGTTGCTGGGATACGCTGGCGCTCTTATTTCCACACAAAATGCTGAGAAACTCATTAATATGAACTTTTCATCAGATTTATTCATCCAACGCCAAAATGCAGCAAGAGTCACCTCAAGACCCTTTATGTTGTGAGGTTAAGGACCCAACAACAATACAGACAACGGCCCAACAATCAAACTGCCTCCTGTGAGCGAGCGCTTTGGCGTCAGTGGGACAGAAAAACTCCTGTTTAACAGGAAGTAGGCTCAGGGAAGGGGAAGCCGTCTGCAGCGACCGGTTGGGCGTGAGAGGAGGAAGGCTGGACATCTTCCTGTCACAGAAGTCGGCCTCTCCACTGACTGGGCAACGATATTCAGCTAAATCAGAGTTTAAAGAATAAATGATTTATTTTCAGCCGCATCGAATCACAACGACAGTCGGGGCGCTTTATGTTGGATAAATGCTGATTTGATCCCGTCTCTCTCAAAGAAATGAACAGTCTCTGCTGAGTTACATTTATTTTAGCGCAGATCTCAACCAAAGACTCAGGAAAAACATATTTTGCTGTAGAAAAACTCTGAACCCTTGAAGCTTCGGCCCCATGCACAGTCTGAGGTCTGGGGACTGGCGAGACCACTCCGTATCTTAATGTGCTTTGTTTGGGTCATTGTCATGATGGAGGATCCATACACCACGCCACTTCAGTGTTCTGGCTGAGAGAAGGAGATTCTTCTCTGAGATTTTACCCTACGTCCCCTCAATGTGGTGTCCTGTACCCCTAACAGAAAGGTGCAGTGTGTTCAATCAAGCTCCTACCATGTAGATTTATTCTGATCCAAAACTTCTCTCGTCATCCCATGAACTGAGATCTCGAACGGAGCTCCAGACTAGCGCTGCCACAAATGATTATTTTGATAGTTGACTACGCACTGATTATTTTTGCGATTAGTCGACTAATCAGATCATCATCCATTGGACGTAAAACTACAGCTTATTGCACCAGCAGCATCTGCTCTTATATATCATTAGCTTACAGCTTTAAGTGTTTAAGGTGAAATTTGCAGATTGTTTCGGTGAAGTTTAATAAACTCCTTGCTATCTAAAATATAACAGGACACCGGAGTATATTCTCCAGCATCTCACACTTCTGATAATCAGCTGTCTGCTTGACGTTTATTCAGCTGTGTAAAAACTATAACTTTAATCTCAGCCAAACAGATTTACTCAGGAACAAATAAAATACAAAAAAAAAGCCAAACAATAACATTTTTAAGTTATCTAAGTGACTCATATATCCTGTTTAACCTGAGCAGCGAAAGACGGCGGTGGGTTTGAAAACGATGTGCCGGGAGTCCGGTGTTCTCACGGCTCTAGTGACCTAGCCCCCGGCTAGCTATCGAGCTAGTGGGTAACAGACGTCTCCGAAAACGTCGGAGCGCTTTTGAAAATATGTGGTGTCCTGATAAACTGAGCAGATATTTGAGGTTTACACAGCTACATTCTCGCCTGAAAATATGTTAAACGTTTATTTTGTGACCCAGAAAGAATAATAAGAGTAATATTAAAACTAACTAGCTGCCGCCATTGTTGGAAACTGCGCTGGGCCGCGCTATGAATTCTGGGACACAGCTTCTTCTTCTTCTTCGGGGTTTAACGGCAGCTGGCATCCTTGTACATGCAGTGCTGCCATCTTCTGTTTCAGTCCGTTATTACACTCTTAAATCCTGCTACTTATTCCTGCGTCTTTTGTGATCTTACAAAGCTTCAAACGACGCGTCGACTATTAAATCAGCCGTCGACGATTCTGATAGTCGACTAATCCTGGCAGCCCTACTCCAGACCCAGAGCGTCTGACCCCAACAGCTGTCACCTTCTCACCAGGCTTCCTGCTGATGGTCTTGTAGTTTATTCCAGCCTTGTGCAGGTCTGCATCTTCTCCCTGACGTCCTTTAACAGCTCGTTGGACGTTGGAAGAAAGCGATTCTGTCGTGCTTCATAAACGACGAGACAATATCAGGAGTGTTTCCAACTGATTGACTGTAACTCACGTGAGCACTCGGCTAATCTGTGGGTCGCTCCGTCAAATAAAACTACCATTAAACTTAGAGGCTCTTTGGACGTTCAGCAGGAGATGAAATATTATCTCCCCACTGTCACATGATCCCTACGACGGCGGTCACGTCAAAGACCTTATTCTCTGCTCTTTGGTTGGTTTCAAACTGTTGAGTCATCGTGGGCGGAACAACAAATAAATCCAGCTGCTGTGCTGAAAGGATGAAGCCACAAATCATCACCTGCATTCAGCCTCAGCGGGGGAAAGGAGCTCAGTGCAGAAGCTTACGATTGATGCGCCGTGATTATTTTTCAACGACGGCGAAATCCCCGTCGCGTTGAATTCGATGGTTCACAATCTCATTTCATGGAAAAGTCTGAATCTTGGAACGCCTCCCCTCGTCTATAACATTGATTAGCACCGTGTAACACGTGGTGTAATGGCCCATAATGACCCCCCGGGCAATGACAAAATTACAGCCGTGATGAGCCGAGGTACATCGCTCCGTACCGTGGTACATCGCTCCGTACCGTGGTACATCGCGGGCCTATTGTGGGATTTTTTGGCAAATTTAAATAATTAGAGCGAGAAAGTCTCGGCCTTCTCCGAACTGTCTGTTCTTCTTCACGTCGTAGGTTGATGTCGCGAGGTAAACTGGGCCACGCGGACGCGCAGCTGCTCGCTGTGATGCTTTTTCTAGTTTTGAATCATCAGCTTTAATTTGTTCCAAGTGTAAAAACTGCCTCTGCAGATCAGATCTACTTCATCAGATCTTAATGGGAAAAAAATCGATGCTTCTCTCAGCTGAAAATGTGTCTATTCAGAGCCTGCGGAGTCTTGTACAGCAGTTCACAGGCCTGCAGGCCAGTTTTCCCATGACTTCAGAAACAGGACGTGTTCCTGAGTAAAGAGGGCGCGAGGTCGAACGGAGATGAAGGACGATGGGATACCGAGAACAGCCGAGAGCATCGACAGGCTCCGACCGTAACGAGAGGGGAGGATTTAAAAACACACACTGATGCTTAGACAGTTACATCTTATGAAAGCGCACCTGACAAAGTGAAAGAGATGAATGTGATTACATTTGTTATATTTAGTTTTGTTTGACAGTGGCTGACGGGGGGCGTCCCCTTCAGAGGCTGTGCTTCCTTTACAGCATCCTTAAAGCTCAGTCTGTGCACTTTCCCTCTGTCCTGTTATTTCTTCTTTGTTGCTTTGACTCAGTCTGAACTGTTGTACCTTCTACACTTTCTTTGTTATCAGTGCAAAGTGTAACGTTACTAATACAGCCCTGATAAAAAAAAGCTTAAGACCACCTGAAAAATGGCCAAAACTCATATTTTGCATGGTTGGATCTTAACAAAGCTCAGAGTCGAGCTTCAACATGCAACAAGAAGAAATGGGAGGTTTTTTTGAGCCTGCGATTTATTGAGAGCAACACTTAAACTGAAACAGGCTGAACGTGCTTAAAGGCCAAAAATGTGGATTTATTGTCATTTTCTGTCAGGTAGTCACACCGTCACCACGTTCTGATGGCAAAGGCAAAAAAAGTTTCCTTTTTTGAACATTGTCGGTTTCTTCTTGTCGCAGGTTGAAGCTCTACTTGGAACCTCGTTAAGATCCAACCATGCAAAATGTGATTGTTGCCATTTTTCAGGTGATCGTAAACTTTGGATCCTGACTGTATGTTCTTGTTGTAAGGAGCAGGCGTGATCGGTGCACACGTGTCGGTGGGTCGCTCGCTCCTGTGTCGTTCTGTTTTCAGACGCCGTGCATCAGCAGCGGGAGATCTAACAGCATGAAGGAAGCTAGAACGGGTTGGAAATGTCAACACCAGCTTTTATTTCTTTGTAGTTTGTTTGCCAGCAAAGACAAAAAGAAACACATTTTCGTCCACAAACGTGTGTTTGGATGTATTTGTCTTTGGAAAGCAGGAAATCGGTGTTAAGCGGACACCTTTGGTCGGCCGTGCTTCGGCACATCTCACACTTCATGTAAATAAAAGCTGGAGAATCAGGAGAATCGCTTGTATTTATCTGAGCTGGACAAAGTAAGACGTTGAGGTGCGTTCTCACGGTAGGCTGGGATTTATTAGGCGCTGCAGAGCGACTGCGACTCTGCTGCGTGTGCAGAGGAGACGCCGCAGTAAGACTGTGTGACATAGCAGCGAGCGCGACGTCCCGCCCGAGGGTCGCAGACTGTTCTTGTTGCCTTCGGGTAAGAAGGATTAATTGGTGTTCTCTGCGTCTCACCTGCTGCTCTCGTCTCTTCTTCCAGGATCTTGGAGCTGCAGGAGAAAGGCGACCTGGACATCATGAAGCAGAAGTGGTGGCCCCGCGCCGGCCGCTGCGACCTCAGCAGCCACGCCAGCGCCCACCCCGATGGCCGCTCCCTCAAGCTGCACAGCTTCGCCGGCATCTTCTGCATCTTGGCCGCGGGCCTGCTGCTGGCCTGCCTGGTGGCTGGGCTGGAGGCTTGGTGGAACAGCAACCACTGCCGCCAGGAGCAGCCCAAAGAGGTGACCGAGCACAGGGCCCGGCGGACGGGCCAGCGGGGGGAAGACACTGCCACACTCTACTTTAAGGATCCAGCCGCAGACGCGAGCCCCGACTTAGTGGAGCTCCAGTACACCCAGCTGTAGAGGAGAGAGGTTTAGGAGTCAGTCTAGTGTCGGAGAGCTGGGGGACAGAGGGCGGGAGGCAGGGCAGAGTAGGTAGATGTGCTCTGTGCCGCTGACTGAAATCAAATTTGGTCTCTTCTCCTTATTATTACTACACCCCCTTCATGTTTTTATTTTACCCGTGCATCGCTCCCCACCCACCCTGTCCCCAACTACCAGGGCACACTCCACCTCACCATTACCTTTACTAATATGCTCATAAAACGACGAGGCCTTACGAGCAAGCGGTGCCGAATTAGCTCAGCCAGCCAGGGATCAAATCCCAGCGTGGAAGCACCCGCAGACTTTAATGATTAATTCCCGCAGCGGCGGCTCTGTAGCATTCAAGGGCTCGGTATTGAATTATTGCTATAAACTCATTTTGTGTGGTAAGGCTTTGGTAATTTTCTGCACCCAGGGGTTGTTAAAAGAGATTATAATTAGCAGGAGAGGGTGGGAGCTTGCTGAGGCAGAGAAGGACACTTACGGAGTTTTTAGCGTGGAAAGAAAAAGTTGTTTGTCACATTAAACGCAGCTCGACCTGCGTTTCAACAACCGTGCACTGTTGCTGTTGGAAACTGGAGCCTCACCAAGTGCCTGCCGAATAAGAATCACTGAGAACTCAGCGACCACCTCGCTCTTTTATGAATGAAACACACGCTGCTCTTACAGCCGAGCTAATAGTTACACCTGCGGTTCGTGAAAGATGAACGCACCCCCGATCGATATTAATGAACGGCCGCCTCCTCGAAAGCTGGAAACATCCCGTAATTGAAACGTCTTTAGTGGATAATTATCCGGAACTTCTGCCGTCACAGCAGGATCGTATTGTTCCGATTTAACACGACGTCATTAAAAAACACAAATCTGTGTTAACCTCTCAGAGTGACGCTGTCCCTGTGCCAAACAATAGGCTCTGACGTACAAGTGCTCCGTGTAATTTTATGCTGCTGCCATTTCAAAGTGTGAATGTGGGAACTTTGGCTCTGCAGATGAGAATCTGACAGTTTCAGTGGCTGCTGCTGCTGCACATCTGCAACAGGCCATAAAGCTTCAATAACAAAATCTGACTCCAAAACAAATTCAGCATCAGCTCATCGAGTTTCGTCCCATCGGAGTCGTGAACGTGCGGCTCTTTAGCTGCTAAATGTTCCACTTTGCTCACCTCGCTGGGCTCCAACTGTCTGCTGTGCAAAGTGGCTCTTTAGAGCTTTTTTCCCTGAAAGGGCCACAAAAGATTTATGCAGGGAGCTCATCAACGTAACCTTTCACTCTGTCTGCAGCCACAGAAGCAAGCGTGCAGGAAACTCAGTAACAAAGATCAGTACTTTCCGTCAGTATTAAAATAAATATCCAATCGCAAACTAAGTCATTAATAATCAGGTTTCATGCATAATCGTTAGTGGCAGCCAATCTCCTCACACCAGAGCTGTGACATCACTCAGCATGAAATATGGACATGAGTTTAAATGGGACATTTTGACACCGGAAACACCTTCAGTCGGCTGGTTTCTGTGCAGAGTGATGCTTCAGACATCAGCCTGCAGAGAACAGAGCGAGGCAGCCGTCTGCTTCTGTGTCAGTGTGAGAGGATAAAAGCTTTGAACAGAGATCAGCTGGCCTCATATAACACAATACCAACACAGGGCAGCGTGCAACTACAGATGAATTTGGACGCCCCATCACAACTCAACAAGCAGCCCATCAGAAAGCACTGACCTGCAGCACAAAGCTCCCTGTAAAGTCTCAACCACCCAGACATCTGCTAATAAACATCCTAGAGTCTCCCCGTGCACCAAAACTGGAGCTCAGACTTCTAGAAAGGTCTGTTAGTACAACAACGTCCCAACAGCCGTATAGTTGGTCAGATAATGTCATTAAAAATGTTCCAGCAGCACAAACATGGTCCACAGGTCCAGTTCAGGGACTTCAGTTGGCTGAGGTGGAGAATAGCAGACAGCTAGCAGCTGCAGCCGCCTGTGTCACCATCCACCTGCCAGTCAACATTGGAGTCTATGCGGTAAGACTCACTGATGGGGACAGCCCCAAGTGGACAAGAGAGGAACTGCAGCTTGTGGCAGTTCCACAGTGAGTTCAAATTACCAAAAAAACCCACAATCCTCTGTGAAACTGAAATTATGTCACATGCATCATTTGAATAAGCTTTGAGTGACCAGAGTTACTCACATCTTTATTTATAATCACAACAACAGTTGCCTCAAGACAACTGTAAAGTAAAGACCCTCCAATAATACAGAGAAAAACCCAACAATCATATGACCCCCTATGAGCAGCACTTTGGTGACAGTGGGAAGGAAAAACTCCCTTTTAACAGGAAGAAACCTCCGGCAGAACCAGGCTCAGGGAGGGGCGGGGCCATCTGCTGCGACAGGTTAGGAGTGAGGGGAGGAAGGCGGGACAAAGAGATTAATGATCAGCTGATAACTACGATGTGGTCGCTTCTGACTCCACAAAACGTACGATGACAGAAGCTGCGATGCTAAACCCGAGTTAGCTCCATTCAGCCTTTGACTCCTCCTTCCAGTCATACATGACGTTTGTTATTGGTTGAGAACCACCAAGTATTCAATGTTAAACATGATGGTGGGACAGAAATACAGGAGGAGAATGGATGTTGGGGCTACACTGATACTGACGTGTGTGCTGTGTGTTACAGTGGTTATTGTGTGGTCTGTATATTGTTTGAAACGGGGACACGGGCGCTACCAAAGACACCGCTCGAACACGAAACTGACCTCAGACCTGCCTTTCCATGTCCTACCTCCAGACATCAACAACATACACCTCCCAGCACTACGCAGGGCCGACCTCACCTCACTGTGCGAACACCCCCAGACAGGCTTCAGTCATGTGACAGGGGACAAACGGGCAGGAAGGCCTCGATGTGGATCCATAAACTAAAGTGTGAGCAGGCAGTGTGCACGCTGGGTGTGTCACCCTTTAGCAATAAGATCTGTCTCCGACATCCCCGTCCATAACCCCTGGTTCTATCACTGTGTCACGTCTTATTGCAAATTATATGTCAATGTGGACACCCCTGTTATCTATCTCCTCTCCTTCTCTCCATCTATCCTTTTCATTTTTTGATTTACACTTGACTGTCTATGATCTCGTGCAGGTTACTAAGGATTACAGGCTGGCAAGGGTTTCTGGTCCATTGACATATAATGACATTACAACTGCTTCATCGGAGGGGAGGAGGGACATTTGGACAGACAGAGAGAGAGGCTGGGATGAAGCAGAAGCTATTGATACAGGTCAGAATAGACCTCCTATATACAACCTTCTAAAATACGACAAAAGAAATCAAACACATCTGTGCCGTCGCCAAGCTCCTCTTTGTTTTTGTTCTTTCCTTTCGGGGGTTAAAGTCTTTCTGATTTTCTGAAACTAAATCTGCAGGCATACAGGAAGTCATTTTTGTCAGTTTCCAGCACAAATTCAATTATGTCTGTGATCATCTTAAAGGTTAGAACTCATTCTTCCCCTGGTATAATGCTTATTAAGCAGCGTTTGCTAATTAGAGGAGTGTAGAATAATAAAAAAATAAAGAATTAGGATTTTGCTCTATGCAGATGATAAAGTTGTAACCTTCTGAGAACTCGCTACTAACGCTGCATCCCGTCATCATTAGAAACCTTCCCGGTTCTCACGGTGCCTTTTCTGTTTCTCCTTGCTTTCTCTCATTTGGTCATCTTTAACTGTTTGAACACATCTCATAAGGGCTGACCTCACACCTCAGTTTGACCTGTTTCGGGAGAACAGAATCACCAAGGTTCACGACAAACTCAGTGCCTTTCACGCAGCTTTTATTGAGCAGTGTTTGCATAAACCTTTAAAAATTCATCAAGACATCTACGAGAAATGGAGCAGCTCAATATCAGAAAGCCTGATAAGGCTAGTTTTGAGTTGGTGGCCATAAGAATATTGGTGATCGTGCCTACAACCAGCAAGCAGCTCCGTGGAAGGCCTGCACGTGCATTTGCAAACCTTTGCCTTGAATTTAATTTTAACATTGCAAGGAGCCAAATCTCTCACAGGACAAGCAGTGAGTGTGAATCGTGTTGAGGTGACTGAGAAGCTTCAGGAAACAGCTCAGGAAGTCATAGCAGAATTTTGCATCTGACCCTGGAGAGTATAAGATGCTTCTGGTTGAGCCACTTTCAGCCCTGGATACTGAACTCTTCCCCTTAAAACTCTGGGTTTTAAGGGGAAGAGTCTTTGGGTTGTAGATGGAGAACCAGCTTTTATCCTTGACGTAAACTCACACGAAAACTCCCACATGTAAGAAAATCTTTTTTGTTTTTCACAGGCAAAGTCTTTTTGATCGTACCTTCTGTTTCTCCGTCTGAATCAGCTCTGTGTAGCTGCTGTGTGAAAGTGGCAGCTGGCAAATTTCCCTGATGGAGCCAGACTGCATTAGAAAAAGTCTGACTTTAAGACTTTTGGAGAGCCACTTAGCTAACAGCAAATTAGCTTCACAAAGCCAGACTCCATTTCAGATTTCATTGTAAAAATGATCCAGTCAACTGAAGTGGCAGCTGGAGCCTGAAGCGTTCAATCTGAACAGTGTGGCGTTCACATGTGATGTCACTCGCCGTGAACCCGGCGATCTCCTTGAAAAAATGTTGCACCTGCGCCTGGATCGTTTTTCCTCTGCACAGGTTCTGATCGATGCTTTGAGAGCTCTCGGACGTTTTGAAAATAAAGGTCAATAACAGCTTAAGAAAGTCATGCACTCATCTAAATACTTGTATCAAGACCTTCTGACCTAAGCGTCTGGGTCAGCAGCACTTTATTGATTAAGATGTCCATCGATCGACTGAAAACCACAATGACGAACGCAGAAAATATGGTTTTGCTTTGCCAAGCCGAATCTAAATTGAAAGAAACGATTTGCCTCACTTGACCTTTCATCTTATGGTGTCAGTAGCTGGTAATAAAGTTTTGACCTATCGGTTATTGCTCGTTTCTAAGCCTAAAATAAGACAGCGAGATGATTAAGACTGTAGATGATTGCCTAACTGCGGCTTTACCGGGTGTGCTTATCTGGAGGCTTTGACCACGTTGTGGATTCAACGATTAAATGAAGACACAGAAATGTTGTTCTGGATTTTATTGCACGCGTGATGAATATTATTACCTGCTTCCTGAGGACTGCATGCCGTGTGTCATGTTTCCAGACGTCTGTGGCTTTTGTTCAGCATTTCTGTGTTTGTTATTTAAGTGATGACCGAGCAAATTTAACTCTTTCATTAAAAAACTGACTGTTTTTGAAAATCAGTATTGCAGTAAAACAGGATTCTCCTCCATTTAAACGCGCTTGGTGATGCTGGCTGGTCAGCAGGAGGACTAACTGCAGTTGGTGGTAAAGAGCAAACCAACGATACCTTTAAACCACACCTGGAAAGCTGGCAGGAAACCTCCGGGTCTCAAGTCCTACACGAAGGATTATTTTGGTCTTCGTCTCTTTGCCACATAAAATTCCTCAAACCTGCTGAAACATGGACTGTTTTTGGCACCTACACAGAACTGTCGTAGAACTGATGGGAAACACGTGTTGGGAAGATGTCGGGCTACTTTGTGCTCATTGACTTTTCTAGAAGTTTCTAGAAGTCTGCTGGAGAGATGAACTCATCTAGTGTTTGTTGATGGTGCGAGAGACGCTGGTCCAACGTTTACTCCAAATTCTTCCACAGACATTTAGCTGGACTGAGATGAAGTGACAGCATTATTAACATGATTGTCACCCTCAGCCCTCGTGTGGCGGTTCCCTCTAAGCAGGACCATGGCACAAAAAGAGCCCCTCACGAATAATCAAAAATCCAAAGGCTTGTTTGGGCTCCAGCAAGCGCACAGATCCGTCAGTCAGCTGCGGCTTTTAAAACGCGTCACTATACTATCGAGATTTGGTTGAAAACTGAAAGGTGACAACACTTTTCCAGGATTTTGGAAAGATATTGGAAAAACGATTCTTAAGACGAAAAGAAAGACTCTTGCACAAAGTCCTGCAAGAAGACATCTGGTCCTATCAGAGTGAAGATCACGGCCCTCTGCCTGGACCTCAGTGGCTACTTTCAAGTCACAAAGGATGAATAAAGTTTTGTAGATTTTGGTCATTCTACGTTTAAGAAAGAAGATTACCCAGGGTACAACCCTCACCAGGCCCAAAACTGGCCAATGAGCATGCAGCTGGACAGTCGAGTGCTCTTGAAGAACGCTGAGATGGCAACAATGAAAACACTAGGATACAGTTTCACGCGTTGCTGCTAATTTAAAAACAGAAATGCAAACACACGTTCTTGTCTTTTATCTTTTTTATTGCGCTTGATTGGCAGTTCTGACCAACTTACACAGTCAAGTATTACCTACTATATAAAAGTGTACGCGGCGTCTAAATGGAAATGATTCTCCTTTGCTGATCTTATTCATAATAAGCCTCTGGACAGTGAAAACATATCCTCGTAAGAAGCTGCTGGTCAGAGGTGCAGAGGTGTTCAGGAGGAAGAGATGTGCTTTCACTGTTCAACTAAATTTTGAGTTGAAATGACTTCCTTATACAACCAGAAAAGACAACTTTGACCTTTCATCTTTCCACCAAATCTCAACATCTAGCAAAGTTCTCCTCAGCTGGGTTGGATGTAGAGACACAGTCGATGGTGACCTTTGGTTAATAAGACGTTATCAGATGGAAGATGTCGGTGTTAGAGGCGATCGCCGTGCAGAACAGCCTTCGCTCATCTTCGCAGGGCCACTTGAATCTAAAATGAACCAGAAACAATCAGTAACTGTTCTTATCGCACTTGAGCACAACCCACTCGACAGTCACAGTATTTGCAAAGTAGCAGGAAGCAGAGTGATTTAAAAGGCCCCCCAGTGGGAGCACTCACTAAAAGAGCTGTTTGTTTTCCAAATTAATGGAGACTTTCAGACGGCTGTTCTTCCTCTGCACTTACTTCACCAGCCTGCCTTTAACGACCGGCTGAGGTTTAATCCCTGGCATTTATTTATTTAGGCTAGCTGCCAGTTTGAAAACATATTTTAATGAGGCGCTGGTCGGCTGAAACAATAACCTGAGCTGAGATGTTTTAATTGGCTTTGAGAGGAGCTCTCAGAGGCTGGAGTGGGATCATTCAAAGCAAACACGCTGCATGTTCGTGTGTTGCTTAAAGGTTGGAACAAAGGTACACGATTAGCCTCGGCGCTGCTCCACCGCAGCGCATCGAGACGCTCTGAGAGTCGGAGGCTTCGCTAGTGTGTTTCCACCAGAAGGGCTCTCTGCACCACTCTACATGAAGAAATGTTCATCTGCACGGCTCACACTTTACTTTAAATGACTCCGAGACAAACTTCTCCCTTGTTTTTTTCATTTTAAGTCTTCATCCTGCTAACTAAAAGAGCACTGAGGTCAGGTCCTGGGTAGATTTGGTGACACAGAGTGTCGATTGGCCAACAGGAGCATCTGAGAAAATGAAGCTTTGGTTCATTTAATCTACGAGCAAGAAGAAAAGACTAAGCAGGGTGTGATTAGGAGTGCGTGTAATCGGCAGGTCACCAACGTACGAGCAGGCGGCGTCCTTCAGCTTCTCAGTCAGATCGACACCACCACCAAACACCGCGTGAACTCGAGTGCTCTGCAGAGAACCGGCCCTCACACAGCACTCACTGTTTGCAGTTAAAGCCAGCTGCTGGATTGCTAGTTTAACATTTTTAACATTAGCAGTCTGAGACTGCATCCTTTCACCTGACTGAAAATTCACTTTGTGTCATGCATCCAGTCCCTGGATCCAGAATACGGTCTGATTGTGCTCCGAACGTGTCGTAGCTGTAAAGCTTCTCAAATGTCTTTTGTCTGAGCTCATAAAATCTCTCATAATTTAACAAAGCTGCCCAGAACGTTTTGAACAGTCACATGATCTGTTTATCAGTGGAATAAAATCATGAACAGCGATTTTCAGTCCATGCCAGTAGTAATCCCAACAGTGTGACAGTAAAACAGACTCGAAATGATCAAACCTGCGGGGGTGGGGTAGTTGCATGCCTTCTGTATTATGTGCTGCTAACACTGCACCATGACTGAATATGTATGTGGTATTAATCTGTAATGTGTCGTGTGCATTGTGTTGAGTGTCGCCGGTGTCACTGTGAGTTCCTGGGACTAATCTCACTGTGTTTCTGGACTGAAGCGAGCCCGATGCTGGAGCCAGGCTGCGTTCAGGAATGTTAGCTGCTTTGCTGTAAAGCGATTGGCCGCTTTAAGACCCTCTCCTAAAACATCATCCGGCCGGGCTGCAGCAGTCGCACGCGGACGTGTTGAGAATCTGGCCTCAGATTCAAAGCCTCGCTTTCACTATGCGAATCACGCCTCCTTCCTCCCGCACGCCCCTCGTCCTTTACCTTCCCCTGACCAGTGTACTAAAGCAGACCTGCGGTTCAACAGGGAAACACTCGGGTGTCTATTAATACCTAACAAGTATGCATGTCTGCAGTCAGCAGGAGATGCATCGTCAGCCAGTGTGGCGATTAAATTATTCTGCTAGGAAACCAATTCTCTGATCCTCCTGTGACGAGCGTAGCAGCTCCGAGGGCGGCGAGGGCAGAGAAAGCACAAACATAGCTTCAGTTTATGAATCTAAAATTGATCTCAGATGTGATTCATGACAATCTCGACATAGTCAAGCCTCCAACAGCTCTGCAGCACACGACAGTCAGCTTGGCTCCAGGGTCGGTTTCCTCCATACATCAAGCCTTTACTGCTCACTGGCCAAGTTTGATTTCAAGTTGCACATTCAGATTGGTTTCTGTGGCCTCAGTTTCCACTGGGCTCTTCAAACCAGACTACAAAATGAAACCGGGCCGGTCTATCAGCTGGATCGCTGATAGAAGCTCGTCAGTTAAAAAAAAACCCATATCAGATTGAGAATGCATGGAGCACACGCTGACCTGAATCAGTCTGAGAAATCGGCCCATCGCCAATCTCAGCCTCTGTGTCCCTCCCTCCCTCTCTCCCTCCCCCTGTCTCTCCACTGTCCTCCTCCATCCCCACCCCACCGCCCCACTCCTCAACTTATAGGACAAGGAGGTGAATCTGGAACAGGTGCATCGTCGTATGAACAGTCTTTTGGACGAGGACTTGGCCCACAAGCAGATCCCCGGCCCCTCTATCGAGATCTCTGCGCTGGACATCGGCAGCATGCAGCCCAGCCAGGCCTCTCTGGTCCCGGGCCCGGAGTCCAGGCGGGACTACCCGCCCTCGGGCCTCGCTGTGACCACCTTCCTCCCCGGGGAGGGGGGACCACCTCCTCCTCTTCCCCATCCTCACCATGGGGGGACCCTAGGCAGGACGCTACCCCCATCCCAGGGCCCTGGCAGCAGCACGTTGCCCCCGCACCACCCGCTCAGCAGCACCAACCTCAGCGGCACCATGCAGTGCAAACACAGGGCACCCAACGGGGGGCTCTTCCGGCAGAGCCCTGGCAAGACACCCATGCCAATGTCCTACCAGGCAGTCTCCGCAGGACCCATACCCGAAGCCATTGAGGCCACCCACAGTACATCGATATAAGATCGGAGGGGTAAAAGGGGGGCGGTGGGTGGGAGGGAGGCTGCTCTCTGGACCTGGGTCCAGGTTCGGATGCGAGGCGGGTTGGGGAACCCTAGAGGAAAATTATTATAGAGGAAAAAAACATATATGTACAAAGTAAAAAGATTTTGTATCTCACTATCTGTTCAGAAACACACACACGAAAAATCTAACAAAAAACAACAAAAAGCGGGCGGCGGGCTGGAGGGTGTAATTTTTCTCGTGTACATATCTGTAAATACCAAGAGAACGAAGTGAGGTTAAAGTGTATTTTGAATATTCTCAATTTTTGAAGTTGAGTTATAAAAACAAACAAAATGAGATAAAAAAAAATATAAACATTGATGAAAAAGTTATGACTGTTTGAATGGCTTTGTAAATTTTGTTCAATTAAACAATGACGCGAAATTCATTGTGATTGTTTTCTAAGTGCCGAAATTAAACGATGTCTTTCCACAACTCATTGATGTAAACGACTACCCATGATGCACCGCTGTAGGGACATTTTTAGTGGTGGACACCTACTGTTATGCACCTCTGTACCAACCCTATATATATCTTCAGCATCGGACAAAAAAAAATCACTCTTTGTTTTTTCCCCATTTGTATTAAATATATAATATACATAGTTTTTTCCAAGCAAAAGTCTACATTCTTTTCTTACGTTGACTGTAAATGATGTTCATTCAAACACTGAGGGGGAACAAGCGGGTTTTTATTGGGTTCATATTTTACACACAGCTCAATGGTTTGTTTTTATAGCGAGTTTTTATTTGGCGTCAGTACTGTCCAGGTGAGAGTCTGTTTGTGACGAGCAAATGAGCGAAGAAGAGTACGTACGGCTGCGAGCGCACCGACCGCTGTCTTTAGGTCAAACGATGATGCAATCATGCAAGCCTGGCCTCTTTGTGGAACACGACAGGGTGTAGAACCGTGGCTCCCTACCCACGCGGTACAGGTCTTAGTCTTAAAGTCAAATATCATATTTTTGAACTGTAAATGCAGTCGCGCGTTCGACGTGATGAAATCTCCCAACAGTTTCTGTAGTCCCGTTTAACCACTTACTACAAAAACCTTTTCTGGGTCACGTTAAAGCTTCAAAATTACGAGAATTGCTTCTGTATTTTAAGCTGTGGAAAGAAATGAACATGTTTAGGGTTGGATGAACCACAGACCTTTAGACATCAAACAGAAACCAACCCGACTTCGAGATGAGGAAATCAGGAACACAAAAACATTTGTTCTGGGTTTCAGAGAGATGCTTGCACCTTCTAAATGATGAATAGTTTTAGAGTTCGTCTTCTTCATCGCACCACCAGCAAACCAGTGAAAATCAGTTACAGTCTTTTTCTATGAAACTCTGTCCAGATGCTTTTAGACTAATGAAAAGTTGGCACCAATTTAAAACAAGTACTGGCATGCTTCCCAACTCTGAGACAGACCCTCTTGTTAGCCAAATATATACAAAAAACCAGAAACGGTCCAGAGTATCAGCCAGCCTGGTATTCATTTTATTTGATATTTTTGAGCTTCTGTTTGTATTTGAAGGAAGTGTCAGATTCAAATTGGTGCCAGAACGATTGATGGTTATTAATTTATTCAAACAAACTTCGACAACAGTCGAAGTCTGAAAGTCTGAAATTACAGACCTGAAACACAAGAAAAGTTGTGACAGATCAAACGTATTCGCCTTTCCATCCTTACTCTTACTAACCGCTCCCACAGAGTTCCTAAAGGAGGGCCGACACTTTTGTTTTCAGGCAGTCGTAATGCTTCGTTTGTGGCCAAATATCGAAGCTCGGCCGAGTTCCAACAGCGGTCGGTGTGAACGCAGCCTTAACCTTAAGAAAAAATATAAAGGTACTAAATATATATGTCTTTAATTTTTATACTCGAGAATTTTACGTCACGCTCTCGTACGCAAGTTTCGTCTTGCAAAGCAGTGCAGTTATTCTAACGAGGAGTGAGAGAGTGACTCAGAGAGGCATCGTATTTAATAATAATAATGGATACTTTATTGATCCCCATGGGGAAATTACTTGTTTTTCTCTGCATTTGACCCATTCACTCAGTGAAGCAGTGGGCAGCCCACTAAGCAGGCGCCCGGGGAGCAGTGTGTAGGGACGGTACCTTGCTCAGGGGTACCTCAGGGTAGCTGTTAAGGGGAATCGAACCCCCGACCTTCCGATCATGGGGCGACCACTTTACCTACTGAGCTATCCCTGCCCCACAAGTCATTCCTAATGAGATCCATTATCACCTGCAGGGATGACAGAGGGCGTCATTACCCAAAGTGCAGACAGAGGCTCATGATGATGGCCGTTCTGCAGGTGCCATACCTCAACTGCTTGTAAAACAGAGGGAAGTTAAATATATTTGCTAAACACTGGATAGTATTTTCTCTATAGGATACTGTGAGAGGAACATTTATGGTAAAAGTATTTAACAACAGAAATATATAAAACGACCATATCACCCCCACCTTTTTGCTTTTACAAGCACGGTTAACGTGCATCTATGGGCCTAATGACTGTCGACTTCATTTACATTAGCCTGACGCTGGCTGTTCGGATCTATGTTGATCACACACAGTTTTCAGGACATTAGCAGCAAAACGCAGACCCGCTCATCTCTCCATTTATAGAACGTGTACGTGGGCAGAGGAAACTGAGGAACCTTAACTTGTCAGAATGAAGAGCTTTAGTTCCAAAACTGTAGATCGGACATCGAATCTTGTGTTGTTGGTAGGTTTGTGGTTGTTGGACAGGCGGCAGATTAACTCGTTCCTTAAACTACAGACACGAGCGTTCTGTGGAGGTTTTACTGTCCGGTTCTGTCGCACAGCACTTCTTCCACACTGGGGAAACCCAGACTGAAAGATTTTTAAGTGTCCATATCATGTATGTCCACTCTATTCTTACAGACAGACAGTCAGACAGCAGAAATACTGGAGCTGAAGCCTTCTAACAGCGAGTTGTTTTTGGGCAGTCCCTTAGAAAAGATGACCAGGGGTGGGGAACTCCAGGCCTCGAGGGCCGGTGTCCTGCAGGTTTTAGATTTCATCCTGGGTCAACACACCTGACTCAGATGATTAGTTCATTATCAGGCCTCTGGAGAACTTCAAGACATGTTGAGGAGGTCATTTAGCCATTTAAATCATCTGTGTTGGATCAAGGACACATCTAAACCCTGCAGGACACCGGCCCTCGAAGCCTGGAGTGAAGTAGATGATGCTTTTATCACTGTGTGCAGAGCAAGCACACTCCCTAATGTCTCCTTAAGGGTGCCCCCCAACGGCAGCAGTCTCCATCATATTAAGCTCAACTCTGAAGTTTCTGCAAATGAAAAAAATCCTTCAGAGCTTTTTGCTTTTCAAGCAAACAATTTGACACCAGAATAATAAAAACATTCTTTATTAATTCAGATAGGTTTGCTACTAAACCACAACACATCCAACAATTACAACCCGAGGAAAAAATGTGACCTCGTAAACTCTTGGAAACATCCCCAACAAAGCCTATTTGTCCAGTATTTTTCAGTGTTCACACCGAGGTGTTGACCCAGATCAAAATTTAGAAAAACGGTCCAGAACAAATCTGATCTACGTCCTCGATACCACCGGAAACCCCAGTATGGGTCCACTGCCCAAAAGCCAAAGCTGTTGAACAGGTGGCTTTAATGTTGTGGCTGATTGAATCCAGTGGTCTGTTAAAGACTCAACCACAAAACACAGAGATTTAGGAATAAATTCTTCCAGCACCAATGACAAGCCGATGTACTTCTTTGTTTCGCACCATGCAAAAGCATGTTATGGCTCTTATCAATGACAGGTTAAAGGTAACATTTACAGTTTGTCCCCGACTACGCATACACGCAGTACCGCTCTCACGTAACACCTTAGAGTGTGGATAAAATACTTGGTTCTGTTGCTGTTCATTCATGCTCCTAATTCTTGATCACTTGAGAAATGTAACTGTAAAAGCACTGTGCCGAATCACTCAGATCATAGGACCAAGGTTTGTTTTTCATAGCTGTATTAAATCTGAGTCATTGAACTGGGAAGAAAAAGTTTAACGTGTGACTGTGAAGATTTACGTTGTTGCCAAGCAGAAATGTTCATTATTCAGTTTCACCATGATTCTGTTAGAGCTCTGCTGAAACGCTAATGTTCTGTGTCTGTGTGAAAACCAATTCTCCGGTGACACCAAGTAAAACCTGCCATGTGTTTCATCCTGTGCGTAAACGGACACGCAGAAACGTGACGGTCCTCGACTCTGACGCAGCTCCCATCTGAACACACTCTATATGGATGTTTTCTTACTGTGTCAGTAGTTGCTTCTCTGTCGTGAACCAACTTGCTTTTTGCACTGTGCTCCACCACGTGACGGACGGACAGAGCGAGGTTACGATTGGTCAGCAATGAGGAAGTGACCGGGAGGGCGGGGCGATAAGGGCCTACGTGTGTCCTGTTTATGTTCGAACTCCAACACCCCGACAGAGGATGAAAACATGAACTGTCAGAGCATACAGACTGTCACAGTACATCTAAGGGAGACCCTTATTTTATTTATGAATATGCTGCTTGGAGTTTCTTAAACTTTAATAAAGAAATATGGTTTACAAATCTGTTTCTGATATGTGTCACTGACAACACGTCTCTTCTACTTAATGCAAACTGTTACCGTGATATTGTCAAGAAGCAGCAACCTCCGAGGGTAAACTGTGCCAAAAGCAGCACTTCCTCTAATATCCAAAAGAATCAGTCCTCGTAGACTCGTATATTATAATGTCTGTTTGCCGAGTGCAGTTCCAGTGATTTATTGGCATGGCCCTGATCACTGCCACTGATTAACGGGTATCTGTGTCTGCTCGTTGTACCCATACCTTGTTAGTGTTAGGCCGCAGTCACACAGGCCTATAGATCGGTCAGGGACTCCATGGTAACCAGCAGTTGCTGGTTAAAAATGTGTGACTATTTGGCGAGTGTTTTCAGGAGGTTGTTTGCTGTTGTTAAATGTGCTGCACTGCTTTGGTTGCTCACAGATTGCTGCTGTCCTCAGTAGTCTGCAAATGGTCTGCAAACATGTGACAACTACTTACCAACCAACTGTGAAAATGTGAAGAGTGCGACTGGAAGCAGAGACTGTTTGCCTTCAAAGTAAAAGCAGTAAGGCATGACTTTTACTTTGAAGACAAATGGTCTCAGTTTCTGGTGTGCTTTGACTTTTTCACTGCTGCTTGGTGGTTGGAGAGTGTTAGCAGACCGGTTGGTATCTGCTTGTGTATCTATCCCACTTATCGGTTCCACTTGCACCACAATCGTGTGATTTGAGTTTGTGTGCTGGAGGAGGAAAAAGCGGCGCGGTCTACAGTGGATATGGACGTTACCGTTATATCTGTCACATGAAAAGGTCGAGAGCACGATGGACAGAAACAGCTGCATTATGCTGCTAACACAACTTCAGCTGTGCGCAAGCATCTGCACAGACAGCATGCTAATGCTAAGCTAGCCACAAACCCAGAGTGGAAGCTGAGCGAGTGCCGACGCCAGAAGCCAGACCCTGAACTTCAACAGGTAACAAACCGATGAGCAGTCAGGCTGGAGCCGCCGTTTCTACCTGTTCATGTTTCTAAAGCAGAATCACCATGGCAATGGCTTCAGAGTGTCTTTATGCTGTGTTTTCATCTTTGTGTGTGTCCTCATTATGATAGAGGTTTGTGTTGTGTGTGTGATGTAGCCTGTAGGTTTATACTGTTAACTGGTAACGATGAGACTGTTTCAGGTCATTTTACAGAGAAATGCAAATACATTCTCCTTGGAGTAATTAAGTACTGAACTGCATTACTTTTAAGAAAGTGTTATGTGTAATGTGTGTAAGCAGCCAAAACAGTCCTGAAACTAATGGTATCTTTTATATACTTTACTCTGACACTTACACCAGCAAACTTAAACTCTGAACCATCTCATTTTCTTTCAAAGCAATCAGCAGGTAACACTTTTCCTTGTTAATTTAAATTCCCCCCAAATTGCATAAAAGTGGCCGTCAGTATCCAAGGTGACATCTTCAAATGTGCAACCAGGACCCTAAAGTCTAAATCAGCTGTTTCCCGTCATGTAGCAAATCATCATGTTTGACAAGTGGAACCAAAAGGTCTGACATGTTTATGTCATAATTCAATGTCAGCCATGCATTTTGTGTTCTGTGAGTGCCTCGGTGTGTCCCAGCTGCTAAGATGAAGTAAAACTGAACACCAGCACTTCCAACATCAGCTCTGAATGCGTCTCTTTGTCCTCGACTGCAGACTGAACTGAAAATGATTGGGTTTGTAACTGTTAATTGAATCAAAATAAATGCATCATGTTTAGCTGTGACAAATTCTGAGATTATATTTTGTATAATGTCTAAAGAAACAGAAGGAAAGTAAAATAAACCAGGCCTCTCAGTAGTCTGTGTGTACACTCGGCTCAAGGTTGGAGCTTTTTCTCAGTTCTCCACTGATTTTCATGAAATTGAGTTTGGTGATTGGTGCTGGAAACAAATCTGTCCTGTGCCTGTGGCTGTGGTGGAGGAGGTCGAAGAGCACCGGGAGACAACTTTCAATAAAGCCATCAACAAAGACTTCCAACAAAATCAGCAGGTTTGTTCGAAACTAGCTTTTTACGTTTGAGGCAAATCAAGAGGCTGAAAACACCAGGCGCACACAGATTTAACAAACAACCACTTTCCTCGGGTCCTGATGCCAGAAAATCTACATTGTTGTCACATGTTGGTGTCACATGCTGCATGCATTTTGACATTAGTATATTAGAGGCCACAGAGATTACAGGTTTTTGTCCTGTCACTGCTGCTATAACATGCTGGGATTCGTGCTGCTGTCAAAGGCACCTTGTGTCCAATATTACCTGATACCCAGACAATTACTCATCGAATAAAATTGGACTAAAATACAGCTACAAGATCAAACTTTCCTTTTTGCTAATGGGGGATTCCCATGATGCA